CGTTTATTGTCTCTCTCTCTATATATATATAAAGCACATTAAGAAGTTTAACTCTTTGCGCTATAATTGTTTATTCTGAGTCAATTCTAATTTTATCTTTTCTCGTTTTGATTTTATTTTAAGTACATAAAGTGTCAGAGATGGTTCAAAAGAAAGAGTAATATTGCTGTCATCAGATGTGACTTTATAGAGCAAAGGATTAAAATATTTAGAATATTAAGATATTTAAAATATAAAAAATTTCTAGCATACCTCGTATCTTCGTAAGGTCCTTTGATGAGAATATCGGTGTGAACCATTTTTTGACTCTTTTTTCGCTTTCCTTTCGAAATGAAAATTGTTCTACCTTCCCTCCACTAGTTTCTATCGATTTTAAGCCAATTAAAACCGATATGCAGCACTTCCACTTTAATTTCTGACACTATCAGATCCACTGATCTTTTTCTTTAACTGAATAATATTGATTTATAAAGTATTAATTATTATATTATTTTTTTTCCCAGGTTTTCTTCTTATGCAAAATATACTCACTTTATGGTACGTGATGCAAATGAACCAGAACTAACAATTCTAGACGATTTCCAGCGTTACCACATCGACTTCCTTTGCGGGTTCGAAGATTTTTAGCGAGCCTGCAAAAAAAAAAGAAAAAATAATAAAGTCATTAATAAATAATATCCAGACACATTTAAAAAAATTTGTTAAACTATTCTATATATATAATTTATTGATTTATTAAAATTCTTCGAACATTCTTTTACAAAGAAAAAAGATCGTAATAAAAAATTTATTTGCAATAATAATAATAATAATAATAATAAAAAAGAAGAATGCAAACAGGTTTCAAGATTTTTTTTCATCAATCCTCGATGTGTATTCCACATCATTACAGACGCGAAACAAATAAATGTTCTACGCAATTTGAAAACAAGAATTGAAATGTGATGCTAGAAGATCGAGGTGTAAAACCTGTTCTCATGATTCTATACTTACCTAACACTGGGTAAGAATGTTGGAGAATTTCCTTGACAATCCAAAATCTTGCACCTCATCGACACATAAGTCTTCTCGATTACTGGAAAATATTACCACGGCTGTCTTTTTAATTCGAATTTACTTCAAATCAATTCACTTTTTCTTCTTTTTTTTTTTTTTTCTTAATCTGATTGGACAAAGAATTCTCAGATCATAGACGTCGACACGATGTCCTCAAGAAGACTACAGGATCTCTTGCGATTCCGTGGCCGCTTACATAGTCTCCGCATGCCCCCTTCTTCGCGTATTAAACATCGATATCGAGTGGGGGGATGTTGATCGATTCAAATCGTGAACGGTAGAATTGTTTTTTTAAATCGATTTTGAAATCGATGGATTTTGATTAATAAATTATAAGCAATGTGCATAAGTTAAAAAAGATCTAATTATTATTCATATAGGAAAATCTCATTCTAGTAAACATTTTTCATTTCATGCGGAAATGTATGTATTAAAAGTGTTTGTAACAGTTTGTAATAAAAAATATTAAAATTTCGTAGGAATGATATTTCTTTTTTTGTATTACATGTGATACAAAAAAGTTTGAACAAATAAATCGTAACGTTGCCATGTCTATAATTCTCTTTTTGGATTTTCTTTGGAGAAAGAAAATTTTTATTCTAGAAATCTAGTATATACGCTGGAACTATTATCATTCGTCCTAAAACAAACTGCACGTTGTTCTTGAACCTAGAAAAATTTCGGGAGTCATGAGTGCTGAACTAACTTTAGGGTGAAGAATGAGACACTTAATGGTCGTAAAGTGTTGTCACTCGGCTTTTTTCATAAATCAAATGTGCATCGATTTTTTTTTTAAGATTGAAACGTTTCCTGAATTCGTTTCCTGTTCTCGGTAAGTTAAAATTAATTATAGAATATTTTTTTATTCGATATAAAATCAATTATAAATGTAGAATTTAGTGGTAAAATCATGACCAACACCCATTTCAACGATATATTATTCATTCAGGAATAATATATTTAACTTGCATCTACATGCAAACAAGAATCTGATGCAACATCAATCCTTGATTTCATCAGATGGTTGTTTTAAAACCACCGAAACTCTCGATAAAAAATATCAATGGAAAAATGCTTGGAAAGTTTTAGGCTATGTTTCTACTTTGATTCGATGTTTGACGATATTTAGATTTTTATATTTTGATTGTTTTATTCTATTTTTACATGTATTGTTTTATATTGTGAAAATTGTAATCTCCCTGGTATATCATTTCGATAAATTTTCGAAGAGAAATCGATGACATGAGTCATCAAAAGATGTTTTCTAATGTATTATTTTATCTGGAACCGATGATGATTAACATCGACGAGATATAGAATAAAAAAAATATTTAATGAAACTTTATATCCCATGTCCTGAAATATCGATCTTGAATAATATATTTTTAAAGATTTAGAACAATAAGTACAAGAATTATTCAATTACATAAGTTTGTGAAATTAGCAATTTTTAAAAATAATTTCTTTGATACATTTTTCCATAAATATTTTCAAACATTTATTGATGAATTAAAAATTTCATTTGTATTTTTTATTATAATAATAAAAATAATATCAATTTATGATATTATAAATATATATATATATATATATATATATATATATATATATNTTCTA